AAAGGGCAAGCCTTACCCCAAAATGTTACTCATCTATAGATATTGGGAACTTTTTTTTTTAGGATATTACAAAACAAACAAAATACCACTAAATACATTACTTTTAAATTCATCCGGCAACACGGATTTTTATCCTACATTTGTTATAGTCAAGAACAGGTCCAATATAGGATAATAGCAAAGCAATAAGGCATGAAATATGACAGAGTTAAAAAATAGTCTTGTCAAAATGAGACGAGACAGGATTTATCTTATTTACTATCTTACCGTGCTACCTTTGGCGCCTGCTGTGGTCATGACAGAGATGCAGTTCTTTGGGAAAGGTTTTAATAATCCCACAGTCAGTAATTGCTTGAACATCTCAGAACCTTCTTTAGTCAACCTACTTGTCAATTTGTTCTTCATTTTCATGTCCAAGGATGCCGTAGCAGATTCTCTGTCACTGCATATGGCTTTCTCGATTTCCATCTGCAGTTCTTCAGGGCCTTAGAAATCAAAACAAAAAAGAATGGGTAGAACTTTTCAAAAACCTGAGTGGGAAACGAGAAACAAGAGATCACCTCTGTAATGGAAACAATTTAGAGAAACTCGAAAATGAGAAATTAAGTACCAATACTTATACAATTGTCCATTAGCATGTCTTCATTTAGTTCTTAAACTGAACAGCACAAGGGATCCCATTCAAGAATGTGATTAGGTGAATCATGATAAAGCATGGCGATGAAAAACAAGCCCCACAAGCCAGAAGAGTGGAATATAGCTCTAAAGACCATCACAGTTTTTTCATTATATATTTACTGCATGGAATTTGCTAATCAACTGCTTCCTAACCAAACCAAACAATAAAAAATGCAATACAAAATAGTAGCCACAAATATCATAATCTTGCTAATCAAATATCACATCAAGGTATAGTCAAAATTATTTTAGTAATAACAGAGGTATTTTAGTATCAGTTTGTGCCTTTGTGGTGGCATTAGGCTGACAATGTTGGAGAACAAAGAAAGGGAATATGCAGGTCATTGACTGTGAAAAGATGCAATTACGTTTTGTGAGTAATAAGCTAGCCAATCCTAAAGGCTATACATACGAGTTTGCAATACAATTCAAAGTCGGATGTGCATTGAAAGTTTAAACTGACCTATGCTGGGAATATACATACAAATCTTATCATACGGTACCTATTTGCCCAGATTTGAAATTAACAAATTCACAGTGAACCTCTTCACCAACATCTTCTCCTTCGAGTTTCTCTTTCCGTTGGAGATCATAATGAGGCAATATAACAAGGTCATCTACCCCACATGTGAATCCATTCATCTGAGCCATGATCAAATAATAATAATTTGATCAGTACGCAGAGGCACTCAAATAGTATTTTATAGAGAAAATCCGAATTAACAAAGAAAGCACCTGCAGAAAGATGGTCAACAAGCGGCTCAATGCAGAAAGCAAAATACCCGCACTATCAGACCCATAGAGCTCTTGCACAGTGTGAACCAAACCAAACTTCCCAAATTGATCCTTGTCTATCACACCACGCACGAGCTCATTTTTCCAGACTAACAATTCATGTTCAGCATTTTGATCTTCTTCATCCTCATCATTTTGGAAGCTGGTCCCAGTAAAATAGGTCTTGGGGACTTTCCCCTGATTTTTTGTGATACAAGGCGCACAGCCTTGAGTGATATGATTCAGTAGTGCTGTAACTACCTAAAGAGGAAGGAAAAAGAAAATATAATTGTTGCCAAAAAGATTAACAATCATCTTTAATCGGCCAGATTATTTTTTTTATGTGATCTACGCATTTGCTTCAGCAAATCAAACGAAATATCACCATCTAAATAAACAAACCTGTTTTCCTGTCCAAAGGGGCACTGGTTTCCACACTGCAGGCAAGACAGACTCCACAAGGCCTTCACAATCTACTCTTGAAAACTTTGAGGAATGGATTACTTGACGTGAACCAGGCCCTGCTGCAAAAACACCAGACCCACAAAGCAGTTGGCTGAAATCACTCCAACTAAGGAATGTATCCTTCATTGTCAGAAGCACGGCAGCTACAATGTGATCCTGGAATATAAGGAGTGCCAATAGTTAATCATGCAGGCCTAAGGTTGAATATGCCACAATAACATGAGGTGAACAATGATTAATAATATGTTGAACACGAAGATAATAAGAAGACATCCTTTACTGATACTGAAACCTGAATCAAGGCTCTCACAGGTTCACCCCTTGTAGGGACTATGTACTGCTCATTAGCATTAACGATGCTGTATGCTTCAGCTCGAGAAATTTCGTCTTGGGGAAAATGCACGTTGATCTCATCGCCATCAAAGTCAGCATTATATGAGCTGAAGTCAATTCAAGATGTTATCCCCAATAATTATTAGAGCAGAACACAATATTATATAGCAAGTGAAAATGCGAACCTGCAGTTTGCATAGTGCATGCGAAGTGTTTTTTCACCTTCCAGCACACGAACAACATGAGCCATTATACTGGGCTTGTGAAGTGTAGGCTGACATTNGGGTCAGCAACACCTTATAAGTTCCAAGGTTCAGATGCTCAAATGCTAAATGGGTCAGCAACACCTTATAATATAATAGTTTCTGAACAAATGAAGAAAGAAAAAACAGAGAGGTACATGTAGAAACACACAGAACTAAAATCTAACTAGGTCCTTCCACAAAGGTGCAATATAAAATTGCACTTTACCTTACGAATTATATCAGTTCTGCCTTACTTACAATAATTTGACTGTTAAATGTAAATCCAGTGAAGAGAAAAGCTAACAGCATCCACTATCTTATATGCCATGCCAACAGAAGAACACAGTCCAGGAATGTTTATAGATAGATAAATAAAGAGGCAAATTAACGGGTCATAATTGAGGATCTCACAGAAAATGAAGACCCTGGCACTAGAAAAAACAAGTTCAACAACAGATAATAAATACAACTGAAGAGAGGAAGTTATTGAAATTCACGCAAAATGGATAACTCACTCCAAACAAGTTAGGAACTAGAGCTGCATCACAATATAATTGCTAAAATAAATAAATAGAATAAAATATTTGTTGCATTCTTGTACGTACATCAGGTAATCGTATAAACTATTTCAGGTACCTGCCGATTTACAAGCACAATATCACCATCCTGCAGGTGGCGATAGACAATCTTACTCTCAAAATCAAGCTCATTCCCTGATTCGGTAATGCTCCCTCGTGAAGAAGGTAATTTCCTTGATATTGCCACACGCATCTTTGTGCTCTGTGGCAGTTTCACAGTGGTCATACTATCAACGTAAGTTGTAGCTCCAGGATGAATTTCAGGACCATTTATGACGGCAGCCCTCAACTTTCCAGCATTCCAAGGAGTAACCCTCTATACGTTATTAGTGAATGAATTAGGAAAGATGTCCCAAAATTATATTATCAAATCTGGCACGAGAGATAGGAAAGAAACGCAATCATTTTTTATAGGGAAAAGGTGCCACCCAGAATTCCTTAAAATAGGAAATCATATATCTGGAAATATATATCGATGGTGTTGCAGATATAGTTCTATTGAGTTTGGTTATTAACATGCCGGATTAGTCAAGTAAACGTAAAAGACTCCTAAGTCCTAATATATACTAAATGATCAGGACTACTGTAAATCAATGAATTTCATCCTTTCCAATAGACAACAATATTTCGCCATGAGACGTAATTGGAATTCATCTATGAAACCCTAAGCAGAAGAGATATAAAGAACCACAAACAAAAATTGTTGTTGTTTTTGTAAACAAAAATGAACTGACATGGTTTATTCAAAAGCTCTTGACATCAATATAGTTGTAGGAAAAATTAATTTTTTTTGTGTACTGAGGATGTTCATAGAATCTCTTTTTCCTTTATTGCAGATAAAATTTCAGCAGCTCATTGCTTTCCCTTAAAATAGATGTCAAAATCCATGGACACTGTTAAAATATTAAGATGGCATGTATAAATATGGTTTCATGATTCCTGTAATGCTTTCTTAACTTGTCTGATTTTATCAACAAAAGACTATTATTATAATCATGGATCTCAAACACATTTCTTCTTGCCGTCCTTGACTCCGTCAAACTATAATTTTAAAATGGTTTACGGAACTCATTCCTTATTAGGTGCATGCAGACTTATTGAAAGATCCACACATCTAGCAAAAGTTGATGAGAGAATAAAAAACCAGTTAAAGTGAATAGGTTTATATAGCATAACAAGCTTAAATTTTCTTTTGTCATATACAAAGGTGCAGCCAAATGATATGGTTGTATTCTTCATCTATTTGGCACACATCAAATTAATGGACGGATGACTAAAGTAAAAAACAAATACATAAACCTCTCATATATACCTCTGGATATGTCAGTCTCAATGCAAAGCACGGTGGAACTCCGATTTCATTGACTGACAAGTAAGGATCTGGGGAAATGACAGATCGGCATGAAAAATTGACCCTTTTGCCCATCATATTCTGACGGAACAGACCTTCTTTATGTTCAAGGTACTGACATATTCCAGAATTTTTAATTTGAGCTTGACCTGTCACAAAAATGCGAATTTGCATAACGTGAAAACTATAGAATACTGCATGCCAAAAGCATAAAAACCATGGCAACTTATAGTAAGAACATATACCCAACATCTGGACAAGTAAAACACAAGAAACAAGAAACTGCAACTAAGATCAAGAAATCAAACTACCTAAATCATGACAATTTCCAGGAAAACAAAAGTGTTTTCTATACCCAGCTGTGATCGATATGCACTGCAGCCCACTATTATCAAAGTACTGCACCACTCTTAAAATAACTTTTCTGGGCATAGCATGGAATTTATTAATGAGGATCATTCAACTTGTTAAGGATGTTCTAAGAATGATGAAAATAAAAAGTAGACGAGGCGAAGCCATAGACAACACCCCTGAGGAAAGAAGGAATATATTAATAACTTGTCAGTGGTTGAATCCGAATTTATGATGATTGTAAACATGAAATGAACTCTTGGAAAGAGGAAACAAAACGAACAAACAAAATGCACTTATCCAATTAAAGATGAACTCTTGGAAAGAGGCAACAAAACGTACAAACAAAATGCTCTTATCCAATTAAAAAGTGCACTTAGAGAGGACAGGTTCGATCAAAGAGTAGCAGAAGCTGTCGGAAAGTACCTTATATGTACTCAATATCCTAACCCATTAATTGCCTAACAAACAATTTTATCATTGATGAGTTATGATTCCTTCTCAATATTATTTAAAACAGAATAGAGCATATATCAAATAAATCAACAGCTACCAACATCCATCACATACTTCAGTGTAATTAATCACATCACCGTGACCATGTAACCTGAATTACACTAAAATAAAAGAAAAATTAATTTGCACGAGCCATGAGGACCTGGTTGCCTATGCACAAATCGGTGGTCCAGGATTAGTGCTAAAAAACAAAAAGTGTTGAAAATTTTAAGCAAAATGAAAGCAAAGGCAAGGTGCAACTCAATATGAGCGACCGCAAAAGGAAAAGCTACAGTCCTCAGAAATAGGCTCACTGGTTGCAGTTTTGCTATCAAATAACACATTGATAGACTGTTGCAGATCAACCCAGCAAGCAATTATCCTTGGGCGTTCACTATTATGAAGTTGAGAATCTCTCAAAGCAATATTCGACTGCAGCACCTTCCCCAATAGAACAGTATGTGGATGCTCCATCACCTAAAGGGAATAAGAACAACGATAATTCAGTAACAAACAGATAAACACAAGCTTGTATTGGCAATAAAAATGTTTCTGGTCATATGATCATCTCCACCCCATCCCACTCAAGACTCATCAGTAAGCAAAACTAACTATCATCCCACTCAGAAAGAGAGGGGGGGGGGGAGCCTTCTAACTTCAACAATGTCAATGAGAACATAAACAAAAACTAGCAGGGATTCAAACACTTTACTACCTCCCACCTATAGAATTTGACTATACAACATAACGCGTGGTCATGAAGATGAGTAGAAATATCTGTATCGCTTAACAACCAATTCTTTTCTAAATGTCATAGCTGTACATGCTAAAACCAGCTGCCAATATTGAAAACACAGATATTTGATGCCAAAGAAAAGGTCAAAAGATTTTTCTGAACACTTACCGAATGACCGGCTATTGCTGGAGGTCGGAATTTGATTGGCGGAACAAGAACGTTCTCTAGGAAAAACATTGAATAGCCAGTTGCATTTCCAGAAATTTTATCTTCCCGATGCTGAATATCATATAAATATGAGCATAGAGGAGCTTCATTCTCCCACAAGCGCCTCAGAATATCTCTAACCTGACAATGAGGATGCACAAGACCCTTAAATAGATTTAACGTACCAAAGGACAAATCATCAGAACAAGAAACTAAGTAAATTACCTCTGTTGGTAAAAGAGGCAGACTACTTGTATCAATTAATCCATGATTTGAGTTATTTTCTTGATTTACAACTTTATTGTCAATCGAATGGGCTTCCATTATCTCAGAATCATCCTTCCACGAACAGTCAGCATCTAAAACCTCAGATGAAGGAGTACCCTCACCTCTTCCACTGTGACTCAGATCCGAACCTCTGCTCTGTATGACGATCCCTCTGAGTTCAGTAAAGGAGGTATCTTCCTACACAATAGGTTAGAAACACAAATCAAAATATAAAAAGGTACACATTATCAAGTAGATAAATATTTTTTCTTTTTTTCTTCTAGATCAAAGACTTTCCCCAAATACACATTGAGCTCTATCAAAGTCATTTATTTCGTTACTGGCAAACTTGAGTTGGCATGCTTAAAAGACACGATGACCCTAACATGGCAAAATGCGTTTCCAGCTGTTGGTTTACTGATAGTAAATATTTCTTTTTTTTTTTTTTTTGNGGCAAGTTGATAGTAAATATTTCAATTGTAATCATTCTGATTAAAGTTTCTGAACAATAGATCAAAAGTAAATGAGTGAACATTCATCATGGCAACAATGGATGGTTGTCCCCGGTAAACCAATTCGTAGACAAAATAACTATTTATTTCAAAGCATAGATGTTCAGGAAAAAGCTAGATGAAATTAAAACTTTGAACTGAGCATCCAGTTCTTAGTTCCAAGGATACAAACAAAAAGTTCTCGAGTGAGTGCCATTAACTTAATTGAAAAATGTAAAATTTGGTTGCTTAGACCCCACAGAAGATCCTGGGATCATCTTAAAAACGCAAAAAAGCCATGTCAAATGGAACAAGCCACAGAAACATGCCTAAAAGTTCTACCAGGCTGCAGAACCGGAGTAGATTGAACAGTTGATTTGACTAAGAAAATATGATTAGCATAAGGATACTATTGAAAATTCAACGAATAACTAAATTTGTTTTGCCAATCATGACCTTTTTTTGAATGGAGAGAGCATAATTCATTAAAAGTGCATTTGGAAAAGCTCATTTCTCCCTTTCTGTAAATGATGTTGTAGGATGTGACACTTGTCAACAAAAGATTCATATAACTATCACGGAATGTTTCCTTGTCTTATCTAACCAGAGCGCATAATTCAAGCATTTATGTCCATCCTCAAACCTAATGAAGTCAAATTAGAACAAACCAACACTCCCCGATTCAACAATACAGCTAAAACTGAACTGCTTAACTGCTCCTGACACTTACCACGTGAAACCATCCAAATGTCGGTGTTCTGATCTTAGGGCCCTCGCGTCCACAGTTCTTGCAATCCTTAGGCCGTTTTAATTCGTTCAATACCCCAATAGCTTCAGTTAGCAGACAAGAATCCCATGATGTCTGCTTAGATTCCTTTGTCTCGGTTACATTAACCAGTGAGACCGCCTTTTCCAAACCCACCTCTCTTGCCCTGATAATGTCGCCCTTTCCTATCAATTCTAACCGAGAAACACATTTCGCCACCTATATATCAAACAAGTCAAATTTTTAGGTGAGATAACATACCAATAGAAACTAAATTCTTAGCAGGGTAAGTAGGTAACAACTCACCTCACTTCTGTTCAATCGAAATTTAAAACAATAAAGACATGTATTTTTCAAAAGTTTGCTCAGGGTCCTGAATAACAACGGATTGTAGGAGAGCGAAACAAGGTCAACGTGGCCACAGTGACCACCACAGTGGTATGATCTCTGACCACATAATTTACATCTGCATGTACCCAGATAAGCAAAAATTAAGTATTAACAAAAGTATGAGTAAATTCCTTTCAAATTTCTGTATACTCACGGAGATAAATCGTCCAGGGGCCCCATGGCAGGATCATATAGTCCACCTGGAATTGGATTATCCAACGCATCAAGCAAATTAGGGTTTGTGATCTTCACTGAACTCTGGCGCCTGACTTCTTCATTTGACATGAACCCAAACCGCACAGCCCGAACGACCTCTGTTGTTCCCTGTAAGACACTATCAACTTCAGGAAAAAAGCTACTAGTAAAAACACCCAAAGGGTTTCTTAAGGGAGCGAATGCAGACAACGGCGGGGAAATTAAACAAATCCAACCAGGTCCCATGAAAACTGTTTCAAAATTCATGCTAAGAATTTACTTGCAAACACCAAATTCCAGAAAAAGTAGCAAATATAATGCCACAGAAATTCTAACAACGACATGGATACGAAGCTTAACGAAGAAAGTAGTGGTTGTTACCATTAGTTTTTGCTTTAATTGGTTCGAAGCAGTGGGAGTCCTATCAGTATAGCCGTAATTCCTTGAAAAATTAACAAGCAATGAAGTAAAAAGAAAGGTTTTCAAGCACTGGCACTCGAGATTTGCGGCCTCTTAAGCTGAGCAAGGCGGCGGGCCGGCCCTTGTTGTCGTCAAATTCTTATGTACTCAGAAAAAAGTATGCATGTGTTTGAAGAGGAAGGTCTTTATAGTTTATACTTTATACTTCGTAATTCTATTCAATAGACGGTGGGAAGTTCCTTCCTTTTCATGCTGAAGATAACGTAAATTGCTACAGGCCCCTACTAAAAGGGAAATTATGCGCGCCGCACCATTATTTTTCAAAATATTAAATAAAACCAGTTCGTGATTAATTTTTGGATTTTTTATAATAAAGATAGACTACCCAAATTTACTTCAAACTGTCAATCCAGTACATATATTTTTCTTGTTGGTCGTCACCTCTCTGTTGATACTCGTGCGATTCACCGAGTATAATATAAAAAAATATTTATTTAAATATTATCAATAATTAAGATGATATGCAATATTTATTTAACATAATATTTAATTCAATAATAATATGAAATTTATTTAATGTTATTATTATTTCTATTTTTTAATTTTTTTGGTAGGTCTTGAATATTTAATACATAAATATAATTATTTATAATTTATAAAATATTATAAATGTATAAGATCGTATGATATTTGCATACTTATAAAATTGTGAATTATCTTAGTCTTATAACTTTTTTAACAATTCATAATTTGCACATTGCTCGATAATTTACTAACATTTAACCTATAATATTTATCTTCCTTTATTAAAATTCTAAGTGTAGGTAATGTTAAAAATGTTTGATATTCAACATAAATTTTTCATGGTTAATTATTTTATTTTTATTTTTAAACGTTTTTTATATTTATTTATTTAATTCATTTTTCCCTCTTCTTTTCGAAATAGCATTCAAAAAAGTTATCCATTTGAATATTTAAATGTATTATATATTTTCACAATTACCATGTGCTATAATTTAAATTAAGATAGTTGACTATTTTGTGTACTTTTTTTTATGGGTCAGAACGATAGGGATATTATAAAGCGCACAACGTGCGAAAAGAAAACCAGCCAAAGGCTGAAAGATACAATCAAATATTTGGGCAGCTTTTCAAATAAGCTCGTAAAATTTTTATTTTAGCTAGCTTATCAGCTAACTTTACCAAATACTTTTATCATATGAGCTAGCTTTTCAGCTATAGGTCATAAGCTAGAAGCCCGAAAATCACTTATAAACTATAAGCTAGCTTATCAGTTATCATAAATAAGCTACCTTATATCTTATTTAATTGGCTTATAAAGCTTCTTGTATTCAAACAAGATTCGTTTAGTAGGACGAACTATTTTTAAAAAGCTCGAACTTTTCTCATAGGCTTCTCTGGGTAGTTTTCTAAATAAGCTCGTTGAAATTTTTATTTCAGTTATCTTATCAACTAATTTTACCAAACTCTTTTATCAAATAAACTAGCTTTTCAGCTATAAATCATATGCTATAAGCTCGAAAATCATTTATAAACTATAAACTAACTTATTAGTTACCAGCTAATTTTACAAAACATAGCGAGTCGCAGACAAATTTTAAATATAGGAATTTCGATGAGCAATATTATATTAAACTTTGGTTTTACTGCCAAAAATTAAGTCATAAATTTTAAATTTACAATTAGTTTGCATGTTGTATGTGAAAAAAATGAAAATTGTTATAATCAATTAAAAAATTACAATATTTTGTCGGTGCTTTTTCCTCAAGTGGATTTTGTATATTAAATAACAGCTATTCCTTGTTACATAACGGCAACGAAAACAGAGCTGTGTTATTAATATTAAATTTTTTGTTTGATGCACTAACAACAACTTCGTGGACGTGCCGGAGTGGTTATCGGGCATGACTAGAAATCATGTGGGCTTTGCCCGCGCAGGTTCGAATCCTGCCGTCCACGTATTTTCAAATTTTTGAGAACCTTTTTTTTTTTTTTTTTTTTCCCAAAACGACAGAAGTAATTATATAAAAATCTCAAAAGAGAATAACTGTCAAATACAACACAACTCCCGAAAAACCATAAACTGAGAGGCTCGCATGAGAGCGGCCTAGAACCTCTAGACAAACAACAAATCCGAAGGACAAAATGAAGCTAAAAAATAAGATTAAAGTTTAGCACCCAACCATTGCTATAAAGCCTAGCTAGGGACTAACTTAAACTACACAACCGCAAATACAATCAAGACAGACCTGTAAGAACCAAAAACCAAAGCAAACTAGAAGCCAACAATCAAAATCAACAAACAGAAATCTAGGAAACCAAGCAGAAGTCCAGCCAGTCTTTATGAGCAGCTTTAATGATTTGGTGCACTGGCATGAGTGATTTTTGGAATACCCAGAGGTTCCTCGTCTTCCAGAGCCACCAAAGTAGGTATGTTGTAAGTTGAATTCTGTCTTTGGTAATCTCTGAAGTCCCTAAGGAGCAGATCTGGTGCCACCATACTTTAAATGAGTCAGCAGAGGCAGTGAGTCCATCCCAGTACACAGGAGAAAGTTCCCAAAATCTTTGAGCTCGAGGGCAGGAAAATAGTAAGTGTTCAGTTGTTTCAGGAGCATCACCACACAAAGGACAAGTAGGATCAATGTCCAATCCTCTTTTCCTCAGCTGTACTGCAACTGGAAGTGTTCCAGATATACATTTCCACAAAAAATGTTTTATTTTGCCAAGCACTTTCAAAGACCAGCCCCTGTGGAGAGTTTTCTTGCAGATACCTGAGTTTGAGCTGCTTTCAGGTACATCCATTCTTGCTATCTTCTGCTGAGAAAGGAATTTATAAGTACTGGCAGTGGAGAACAGCCCTTTGGTGTCTAATCCCCAGTGAATTCTGTCTTCTCTGTTGGGGTTCAGAGAGGTGATTCTGAGAATAGCATTGCTGTCAGCCTCATTGAACACTTGTCTCACCAACCAATCATTCCAGCTCAGTCCATCAGCATGCAATAAATCTTTAACCCATATTAGATGACCTATAGCAATTTCCAGGAGTGTGGGAGAAGCTTTTGTGAGGTTTGGGACCCAATTGAGGTCCTCAATTTTGGTGTTTGCTCCATTTCTAATCTCAACTCTCAACCACTTAGAAAAAGTTAGCATCATTTCCATCCAACAGTTCCACATCCAAGAAGCATTTGAAGTTTTGACAGCATGAATAATGGAAGTATTAGGGAAGTACCTTGCTTTGAGAATTTTGCTTACTAGGAGGTCAGGGCTCGAGGCAATCCTCCACAGTTGCTTGCATAATAGAGATTGGTTGAAGAGTTTGATATCAAGAAAACCCAGCCCACCTTGCTGTTTGGATATGGTCAATAGCTCCCATCTTTTCCAGTGAATGCTTTTCTTGTTTGGATCACCTGACTGCCACCAGAAATGTGCACAAAGTCTTGAAATTTCATTACAAAGGGATGAAGGGAGTTTAAAGCAAGACATAGAAAACACAGGGAGAGACTGAATAACTGATTTGAGGAGGACTTCTTTGCCAGCAGTACTTAAGAATTTAGATTGCCAACTCTGTAGTCTGCCTCTTACAGACTGAAGGATGTAGTTTGGACCTTCCAATACCCAAAGGTAAGCCTAAATATCTGGTGGATCTGTGAGACACAATTCCACTTAAAGCATTACAGATATTGGATTTCAGCTGTTGAGGAGTATTTCTACTGAAGAAGATTGCAGACTTTGACAAATTGACCTGCTGTCCTGAGAAGAGTTTGTACTGTTCTAGTAGATTCATAAGATATGATGCTTGATCTACTCCAGCCTTGCAAAAGAAAAGGGAGTCGTCTGCAAAGAGTAAATGAGAAAGTAGGGGGCCATTCTGAGATAATTTCATTCCTTTCAGTCTGCCTCTATCAGTAGAATCCAGAACCATAGCAGACAAGAGCTCAGCAACAATTATAAAAAGGTATGGAGACAAAGGGTCCCCTTGTCTAATACCTCGAGAAGGGTTGACAAAACCTGTAACTGATCCATTTATTTTGAAGGAAAAAGATGCAGAGGAAACACAGACCATAAGCAGCTTCACAAAGTCCAAGTGAAAACCCATTTGAACCATAACCTTTTTAATGCAAATCCACTCCACTCTGTCAAAGGCCTTAACAAGATCAAGTTTCAGGGCCATGTAGAATTTGTTACCAGATGAATGCCTATTGAGAAAGTGGAATGCCTCTTGTGCAATGATAACATTGTCAAAGAGTTGTCTCCCTTTAATAAATGCAGACTGATAGGGGCTAATGCAGCAATCCAGGCACACCATAAGTCTATTAGCTAGCACCTTAGATAGGATTTTATAAACAACTGTGCATAAACTAATAGGTCTAAATTTGCTCAGAGTGTCAGGATTATCACATTTAGGAATCAAAGAAAGGATGGTGTGGTTCCAATATTTAAGCATAAGGCCAGATTGAAAGAAACTAGAGATGGCAGAAAAAAGATCATACTTGATAAGAGGCCAGAAATGTTGATAAAAGTGAGCACTCATCCCATCTTCACCTGGAGTTTTATCAGGATTAAGAGAAAAAAGAGCATCATGAACCTCCTCTTCAGTAATTTGCTTGAGAAGTGCTGTGTTCATGTCATCTGTGATGGATGTGGGAATAAGGGGAATGATAGAGTCTCCACCCCAGCTGCCCTCTGAATTGAATAGCTGTGAATAGAAATCAGCAATGTGCAGTTCAATGTCTCTCTGAGTTGATATCACTCTGCCCTCAGCTGAAAGCAACCTGGAGATTGCATTTTTCCTTCTTCTTTGTAAGGTGTAGGCATGAAAGAATTTAGTG